ACGAAGTTCCGGCAGCAACACCAAGGGACTCGAGAAGAGAATCCCAGTCAGCGGCACCAACCGACAGTTGGTCCGACAGAACAAAATCGGACGACGACCCGGCCACAACGGCCTCGGCGGCCTCGTCCTCTTCGCGGAGAATGCGGTCGTCTATGGCAATAGACTCGGCGACGCGATTCTCCAAGAATTCCAACTGCTTGCGAAGGCGTCGGCGACGACTGAGAAGCTCGGACTGACGAGTCGACAACTCGTCCAGGGCCGCTTCGGACTCGTCGAGCTGAGCACGGAGTTTGAGAATGGACGACTTGGTGCGTTCCCACTCGGAAGTGGAAACCTCGATATCGCAAGATTTGGAGTTGGACCGAACACACTCCAAGCAACGACCGGAGGCGATGTGCACCTTGCACACCAGTTTGCGCTCGCGGCAACGGGCACACTTCGTCGGCATAACCCTGCCCTCGAGAGAGATCTTCTCGGACAGACGCAAACGACGGACTGTAGAAGAAACCTTGCTGGCACGCGGCATGGTGGAAGAAAGATAGTTGCGAGGACGCAACTGAAGGAAGAAGGAGGGGTGGTGTTACGAGCTACGCCCTGCACAATCATTACTAAGCTGATGGCCCTGACGGGTGACACGGGAGTCACGGACCTCACGGTGTACACGGTCGGCGCGCCAGTCACGTGACGTGCTCTCCGTGATCTCTGTGCTCTCCGAGAGAGCATGGGAGATCACATAGAGCACCATGTAAATACATGCGTTGCGGCGCACGCACCGCAGGTATATAAACCCTAGGCACGACAGGCTTAACCTGGCGTGTTGAACTCATGTTATAACCTCACTGATTGGAATCTGAGTTACCCAGTCCATTCATCAGTACTTGCGCCGAAGTTCGTCCTCATCTACAGAAGCCCACGTGACATCCCCTTACCGAGAGGTCCCGTAACACTTTCAACACCCTAAAGATGAGTTCTTCGAACGTTCGCTCCCCTGCTGCAAGTGTAGCCGGAGGATCTCGACCTGCTGCCCAAACGACCAGCCGCCCCCCACCAACCATCGCTACCGCCATGGACGTCGACAGTGACGACGACGATACTCCAACGACTAGGCCACCTGCCTTTAAGGCAGCCAAGCCCGACAACTACTATGGCGAGCGAGAAAAATACGACGACTGGGTCAATCAAATGAACCTTTACTTCCTTATGAACAGTGTCCCCGACGACAAGAAAACATTGTTTGCAACGACTTACCTTCGAGGACGTGCTCAACATTGGATGAAGCCTCACCTTACCACGTACCTACGAGGAGGACCAAACAACGATCCAAACGAACTATTCGCGAACTGGACACGTATGGAAGGAGTAATGAGAACATTCTTTTCGATCTCTAACGAAACATCTATGGCCGAACGAATCATTCAAGATATCAGACAGAAAGGGTCTGCAGCTGACTATGCAGCTAAGTTCCAACAACATGCTCAACTTACAGAATGGAACGACGAAGCCCTTATGCCAATGTTCAAAAGAGGACTGAAACCCCAAGTCAAGGATCATCTGATCATGATCGAACAACAACCGCAGACGCTGGGACAACTAATTACAGCCTGTGTGGAAATCGATGATCGACAATGGGAACGCAACATCGAAAGAAAGAATGAAGGACGTCGTGGAGGACCAATCAATTACGAACGACGCGAGCACGCGTATCGACCACCTCCACAACGACGCGATCCAAATGCAATGGATTGGGAGTACAACAACGTACAGCACCCCAGAAGGCACAAAGGCAAGAAGATCTCCAGCAAGACATATAAAGGTAACACGAAGAAGACAACGGAATGTTGGACCTGCGGAAAACAAGGTCACATGTCCAAGGACTGCAGATCGAAGAATAAGGTGCATCGATCTACGAGTCAAAATGCTCACCAAGTCAACATGATCGAAGGTCCGGACGAGGACACGGCACGCACGGAGCACGCGAAGCTCTCGTAGACAGCTTGCTATGACGATGCATGTGTAACGCACAAGTCCGACAAGGACGGGGCAGGATGGTTCCCTCGACGACGACCCGGAGTAAGATCAACAAGGAAACTCCGCGAGACATTTTGGAATATCGAGAAGGAACAGCCGACACAAGGAACCAAGAACGACAAACCAGAGACGAAACTGGAAGAAGCAGTGGACACCGCTACAAGATTATACGGTATGGCGATGGACGAAACGAACGCCACGAAGCCAGAACATGTTCAGAAGATCATCGAACATGAATTAACGACGGTCCTTGAAGTCTTAGGAAAGACTACGGCAACCAGGAAGGTGCACCAGCTCACAAAGGAATTGATGGAGCTTGACCTTGACCTATTCATCCACGTTCACACGAACAGCCCACACGACGAACAGCTATACAAGAAGCTAGAAGAAAAGATTGACGCTTACTCAAGGAAAGACAGAGAACTGGAAATCAACGATGAAGAATTCTGGAATATCGAACTAGGACCAGAATCATCGGATGAGGAAGACGACATCATTATCAAGGACTCGCTGCAACCAATCGTCGAAATACTTAACGCACAGCAAGACGAAATCATCAACAATCAAGGAGTCATGAATGTCGACAAATTCGATTTATTCCTCGACACAGTACGACGAAGGTTTTGGGATTGGCCAGACAAAGTATGCAATCCAATCAACCTCGCGAATGTACTGACGGAAAGACCACCGCTCGGAAGCCATTTTTCCGATGGAGGGTACACAACCCCCGAAGGAGTTACAGTACCGCGCAGGATGCGAGAACAGATCCTGGCGCTACGACGAATATACCGCGACTACCACAACAAAGTTACTACGGCAACACGAGACGATCTACTCAACGACAGTGTGACGATCGACGAGCTGGAGCAGATCTTTCCGCGAACACTATCACAGAACAAGCCTGCACGGGAATGGACCGCAGAGCTATATCCAGGAATAACAATCTCTACGAAAGGACACATACGCGCAATCAAGACGGGAGACACAATCACTATCGTCCCAAAAGACATAACAAGCGGACCCCTTTACTGGGAAGTCAGGCTCGAAGATGTCTCGACTTTAAACTCCCTTTAGATGAAGACAGGAGCAATCTTCATCTTGAGCTCAACAACATCGAAGCTCCCAAGAAACAAGTCTTCATAACGGAATGCAAGATTAACGGTAAGAAAACAGCGGTACTTATTGACAGCGGAGCAAGCAGGAACTTCATGTCATACCGATATATGATACAGAATCATATTACGACGACCAGAAAGCCTCAGGAGGAGAGCTATAGTCCGACGGGACCTGGCGGAGATAAATTCTCAAGAGTGGACAAGGAGACCGTACCTGTGTCCATGGTCTTACAGCAGCACTACGAGGACCTAGTCTTCGATGTCTTCAGCATGGCCAGCCACGACATCGTCCTAGGGTATCCTTGGCTTGTACGACACAACCCAACGATCGATTGGAAGAACGGAGTACTCAAATTCAGAGATTGTGAACATGTCACCACAATCGCGCCCGGAACGCCTGACGAATATCAGACTACGGATGAGAGCGAAGAATTCAACAACGCAGAATCAAACTCGAAACGGATAGGGAAAACCCTACCAACTGGACACTCGACTGGACCTACGAAGTCAGCGACTGGAATCAGACAGGCAAGAACTGACAACCTTGTCGATATCCCGGAAGAGTATAAGAAGTAGAAAACTCTCTTCACGGAAGCCGAAGGACCCGATGCCCTTCCACCGAATAGACCTTGGGACCACAAGATCCCGTTGGTACCGAATGCGAAGATACCCTTCGGACCACTTTACAAACAGTCAGCCTCAGAGCTAGCTACTCTGAAAGAATGGATTGACAAGATGCTGAGAAAAGGCTGGATTCGGAAGTCTACATCTCAGGCAGCATCACCTACGATCCAAGTACCCAAGAAGAACGGTACATCAAGGACGGTGATCGACTTCAGGAAACTCAACGCGGTAACGATCAAAAACCGATACCCATTGCCCAACATTGACGAAGCCAAAGATCGACTAATTGGAGCCGATTGGTTTTCGAAGATCGACTTGCGAGATGCTTTCTATGCTCTACGCATGGCGGGAGGCGAAGAATGGAAAACGGCGTTTAGAACACGTTACGGGCTTTATGAGTTCATGGTGATGCCAATGGGGCTAACCAACGCACCGGCTTCATGCCAAGAACTCATAAATGAGACGCTGAAGGATTTGCTAGACGAATGCGTCATAGCATATATCGACGATATACTCATATTCAGCAAAGGGACTCTTGACGATCACAAGGAAGATGTCAAGAAAGTACTAACAAGGCTTTCGACTGTGGATTTCAGGACAGCACCCGAGAAGTGCGAATTCCACGTCAAGAAAATCGAATTCCTCGGATTCATTATCGAACCAGGAAGAATCTCGATCGACCCGAAAAAGATCCAATCTATCACGACATGGCCTACACCGAATTGTGTCAAGGATGTGCAATCATTCCTTGGACTTGCTAACTACAACCGACAATTCGTCAAAGACTACTCGAAGGTGGCCATACCTCTTACGAAACTTACGAGAGCGGATCAGAAATTCCAATAGGGAAAGGAACAGCAACAAGCCTTTCAGCAGCTTAAGGACGCTTGCGCTGCGAAACCAGTACTACAATTATTTGACCCCGAGAAAGAAGTCATTCTTGAAACAGACGCATCAGATGCGGCGATCGGAGCATGCCTAACCCAGGAGCACAAAGGAAAGCGGCATCCTGTGGCATACTACTCCAGGAAAATGACACCAGCTGAACAAAACTACGACATCCACGACAAGGAGCTGCTAGCTATTGTCGCTTCTCTACGACATTGGAGAATATACTGCTTTGGAGCAAAGAAGCTAACGATCTATACGGATCACAAGAACCTTCTCTTCTTTACGACAACAAAGGAACTGACACGACGACAGTCCCGCTGGTCGGAACTGCTCGGCGAGTATCAGTTCGAGATCAAGTACACACCAGGAAAAGAGAACGGACGAGCTGACGCACTTAGCAGAAGAGTGGATTACATGGACGAAAAGTCACACGAAAAGAAGAGTATACTAATCGTCAACCAGGACGGATCCCTGAGCGGGAACTTCCAAGAGTTTAATCACGTACTCGCAATACTACGAGACGACAAAGAAGAATTCCCCATATCGCACGGGAAATATCAAGTGCCAGAACGACAGATTGAGGACTGCATCAAAGAACACCATGATGCGCCGATCAATGGGCACCCAGGAGTCACGAAGACGATCAATCTCATTAAGAGGAACTTCGAGTTCAGAGATATGAGATCAAGGGTGACTACCTACATCAAGAAATGCGACAAATGCCAGAGGAATAAGGCATCGCGACATGCGAAATACGGATCCCTACAATTTCAAGAACCACCGGATCAACCTTAGCAACATATATCCATAGACTTCATTATAAAGCTCCCAGGATCAAAGGACGAAGTTACAGGAACGACATTCGACTCGATACTCGTCGTTGTCGACAAACTTACGAAATACAGCCACTTCGTGCCATGCAAGGAATCCATGACAGCCGTTCAACTTGGAACGCTACTGGTCGACAGAATCGCCAGATACCACGGGATACCAGAGTCGATAACATCAGACAGAGACAAGCTCTTCACATCGAATTACTGGAAGACATTCGCAGGGATGCTCGGCATCAAACAGAAGATGAGCACGGCATTCCATCCACAGACTGATGGACAAACAGAAAGAAGCAATCAGACGCTTGAACAGTACCTACGCCACTACATTAACATGGCACAGAACAATTGGGTACAGCTACTGCCAGTCGCGCAGTTAGCACTAAACAACCACGTCTCGGAAACGACGGGTGTGTCACCATATAGAGCAAATTTTGGAAGAGACCCAAATATGAACATTCGAATACTCGACAATCCTATGTCAGAAAAAGGAATATGGGACACCAATGAATTGAAAAACGCAGCACAACAACTACAAGAAAACATCAAAATTCAACAAAAGGCAATATTGAAAAACAGAAAAACCAGAAATAATCCTCAGCTTAAAAAGGGGGATAAGGTATATTTGCTTACAAAAAACCTGAAAACAAAAGGAAAAAGAAGCAAGAAACTGGACTCGATGAAGGTCGGACCATTTCTGATACGACAAGAAAAAGGACCGGTCAACTACGAATTGGAACTACCAACAGACGCCAAAATACACCCTGTGTTCCACGTCTCATTACTGGAACCAGCCGATCCGTCAATACCAATACAGAAGACGTTCCACCACGAGATCCAAGAAGAAACAGAATTCGAAGTCGAGAAAATTCTACGACAAGAAGGTCAGCGATTCCTCATCAAATGGAAAGGATACCCAGACTCAGAAAACACATGGGAACCGCTGGAAAACCTACGATACTGTCAGGAACTGCTCACGAAGTTCCGGCGACACCAAAAGAATTGAAAAAGGAATCCCACTCCGACGGATTGAAAACCGACTCGGAAGGAACCGTCTCGACGCCAGCAACGTCGAGGACAGCGTCGGAAGAAGGCTCCTCTTCTTCCCTCAGCTCGCGATCAGCGACCGCGATCGAAGCAGCCGCGCGATCGTTGAGTTGAGAAATTTGAGCTTTTATGCGACGGCGTTTTGCTTTCAACAGCAAAATGGCCTCCTCAGAGTCGTCAAGTTCTTTCTGCAGCTTTTCACGCTCAGATTTGATGGTTCGCCACTCGGAAGCAGTGACGCGGACGTCGCAACGAGAAGCGTTGGAACGAAGACACTCGAGGCAACGACCCGACGAAATATGGACCTTGCACACCAGACGTTGTTCCCGGCAACGAGAACACTTCACCGGCATTTCCTCTCCAAAGGATTCAACTTGCTCGCACAAGGCGCGGCGACGAAGGGTGGAAGATGTTCTGGGAGCGCGCGGCATGGTGGAAGAAAGATAGTTGCGAGGACGCAACTGAAGGAAGAAGGAGGGGTGGTGTTACGAGCTACGCCCTGCACGATCATTACTAAGCTGACGGCCTCGACGGGTGACACGGGAGTCACGTAGGATACGGGCTTCACGGTGTGCACGGTCGGCGCGCCGGTCACGTGACGTGATCTGTTGATCTGTTGATCTGTACAGATCCAACAGATCCACAGATCCACGTCCGAATACATGCGATGCGGCGCACGCACCGCAGGTATATAAACCCTAGGCACGACAGGCTTAACCTGGCGTGTTGAACTCATGTTATAACCTCACTGATTGGAATCTGA